AGTTATAAAGCCCAAGCCTAATGTAGACCTACTCTCCCTGTGAGACTTGCTGTGGGCAAGAATCTGGCCAATGGAAGGAAATCTCTTTGTTTCCAGAAAACAGTATTTGTCCCAGAAATCCATTATCCATTACAGGCTGTGTGGCTTCACATTTGGACACTGCACTTCTTTTTCATCTTAACGGGACATAATTAGGCAAGGGCCAGAAGGACATTGCTCCACAGAAGCTATCTCCAATAGAGGGCATTTCTTGTCCATGGTGGCTCTGTCCCTGACTCATCAGGGAGATCTTCACAGACCTGTGGAAAGCTCCCTTGGGCCTCACCAGGCAGAGCAATCTGATGGGCTTCCTCACCTAGCTCAAGTGAAAGAATTCCTCCTTACAGGCACCATCCTACCTTGTGATAGCCTGGCTTCTGTCTAGAGCCTCAATTTATCACAAAGTCTCTAAGGATTTCTTCATTCAAACAATTTTCAGGAGACATGGCTTCAAGAATTCATCTCAGACTCTCTGTGGATCCTCCCTTGCGTTTATTTTATTTTAAGATTTTATTCCCCTGTTGGAACCCTGGTGTAGAAAAAGCCCATTTCTTCATGGTCCGGAAATTGTAACTCATCTGCTCTGCTCAATCATCTAAACAAGTTGGCTCTGGAGAATATGATTTGGGCTCGCATTTGGCATGCCACATTAAGTGTTAAATGGACGTGATGTCAGGAGGAAAAAAAAGGTCTGATTGCATTTGAGCTGCTTTTCAAAATTAAGCTGAACTCAGAATTAACATCCAATTAACACCAACAGGGCAGGGCTTTTGAGTGCCTTTATCTTGAGGAAGTGAAGAGTCTGTCTGTATTTGCCCTATGGAAAGGGTCATCTCAGAGACCACTTGTTACTTCCTCAATCCCTTCCATGTATAATCACTAATTCATAAGAAATTTGGGGGAAATCAATTTCTGAATACGGCATTCCACTCTTTTCTTGTAAAATAATAGTAATAATTTTTTAAAAAATGGCAGATCTGTGCTTCCCCTACATTCAAGACAAGCTGATTTAAATAATGGAACTACTGTTCATTCCCTTACTTCAGTGTGAATGAAACTTGATGCCAGACTTTCCAATGTAACTCCAGCCGAGGAGCAATCTACAGAAGCTCTGTGACGGGACAACTAGGACCTTGGAGAGCATTCTCCCTTCTTCATTAAGTGACTTTTCTTGCTTTTATTCTTCTGACTGCCCCTTGAGGCCATGGACTCATCCCCAAAGCCTTGAATCAGGGAAACAGTTAAAAGACACATTTAATTTGACTTCATTCTTGCATCCAGATTTTTAGAATGCAACTCAACAAATCTCAAAGGCAATCTATAATAGGTTTTCCTGTGATTCATACACTCCAGGGGAAAAGATAGCGATTCAGATCTATACATATGAATATGTAAAAATATCTACATATGTATCCCTGTGTCAGTGTGTGTATATGTACACATACATATGTGTATGTGTGCATGTATGCATGTATACATAATGTATACATACACACATTATATATGTGTGTGCGTGAATTTTTATGGTCTGAAAAGAAATGCTGCCTGCTAGAGAAATGTGAGATTTGATTCCAGTGTAGAAATGCATACTTTAAAAGCTAATCTTATTCCCACCACTGTTAACTTTATTTTTTAACAAACATAGAAAGCATTGCTACTTATCACCAGGCTAACATAATATAGGACCAGCTTTAAAGACAGATGCCTCTAGTTTTTAATACCCTGCTTTTTATTCAGGCTACCATGTAAATTAGAAAATAGAAACTATTTATTCTGTGGAAGTGAGCAGCTAAAGAGGGACAGGTTCATGCTGATTTCAGCAAGTCTCAATCACCTTTGACGATATATTTGCCTACAGGCTTGAATGATATTGAAATATTGTCCTTGCTTCTTGGCAAGTGCCTGTTATCTGCATAGCTATCTCCATATGTGGGAGGAATGAATTTCACAAATTTGTAGGAATATTTTTGGTTTGGATCCACTCCCCCAATGCGCTGAACCAGATCTCATCCACTTGATCAGGGCTTCTTTGTACTGTGAGGGCTAAACACTTGCATGAAAATGGAATTTTCTCTCTAAATGTCATCAACTTGACTTCCAATATATTACTTAATAGATGAGAAAAACTGGGGCCAGAAGCAGGCAGGAAACACAGATCCATTAGTGGGGGGAGGCGACGGGAAGTGCAGATCCACAAATGAGGGACTCTAATGAAAAGTAAGGAATGGGATTAGAGTCAAAGCTGAACGAGATTCTTCATTTGAAGCAAATGGGTTGTTTTGAGTGGTTGTTTTAGGAAAAAGATCCAAGTGGTAGCAATAACAAAGTACTTTTAGGAACTCAGTTCAAACAAGCACACACCACGCAAGACTTCTTCAAGGCCTGGATGGATGCAGCACACATCAAACCCTATCTCTTGAACCTTCTAAATCTCACAGTCCCGTATGGGAGAATAGACACCAGAAGGAGAATCCTTGGGCCCTGCTGTCTCTCCAATAACCAAAGAAGGGGCCTTTTGTATTCACTGTACTCAACAAATACCAAAAGTCAACTGAGTTGTTTCATTTCTTCAACACTGAGTACAACCCCGTTTAACCAGAACATTGCATTCAACAACAATTCAACAAGTCCTACTTCATGCCAGGCACAATGGGAAGCAGGAATTTCAAGTTTAAAAAGTCCTCCTTCCAGGAATTTTCACCCCATAATTCACCAAGCACTCACTGAGATAATGTAGAGTAGTGATGGGGTCAGGAAGATCTGTGTTTAAATCCTGCCTCAGAAACTTAATAGCTGTATGACTGCACAAGTTACTTAACCTCTATTGGTCTTAGTTTCCTCATTTGTAAAATGAGGAGGAAATGGTTTCCAAGGTCTTTTCCAGCTCTAAATATATGACTCCCTCTATGTTCTTATTGGTCAAAGTCCCCTGAATTGTGAAAGTAGACCTTTCCCAACATAACTAATGACCATTTGGAACACTTGACCATTTGAGACCACCAATCACTGGCATGTGGCTGCTTGAATTTGTCTGTCAGTAGAATACAGTGCTGCAGATATTGTGATTTCCCCCAAGCAAATGTCCTTTCATAGTAGTAATGAAAATCACTTGAAGGGAAACCAAGGGCTGCCAGCTCTTCACTGAAGAGCTCAGAATTAGGATTATCAAAGAAGCGGCTTTGGTGTTCTTTGTGATTCGGAGGTGTGAAAATGAGGCTACCTAAAGGGGAAATGAAAAGGAGAAAGAAGCATTTGCCCAAGATTCCAAGTCCGAATAATAAAGAAAGCTCATCCATGGGTAGAGCTGGCAAGTGTCCCAAAGGTGAAAAAGAATTTTCAGTTTCTATTTGAATAAATAGTCTGCTGACAACACCAACACATAATTAACTCTTCTTCTGTGTGATTCTGCTACTTCCCCCTGTTAAGAAGAGAGTCCCAATTGTATATATGGAAAGCAAGTCAAAGAAGAGTGGGGGTAGACATTTGTAGGAAGTCACAAAATAGACTTTGGCAAGACCAGGCTTCATGCTCAGGGCTGTTTGTGTGAAGCCTCTGATTTAGAAAGTGCCTCTGGGGTACATGTCCATACATTTCAGAAAGCAGTTAATCTCTCCATTAACTTATCTCAGGGAATATTTGACTAGAACCAGGTGGAATAGTAGAGAAGAGGCAGGGCACCCTACAGCAGAGGGGTCAAACTCATGAGTGTAGCCAGAACTAGATTAAGATGTAATGTCGAAGTATTTAACAAAATAAATAAAAATACAGTGCAACATAGATAATGTTCATCTGTGGTTTTCTAAGTCAACATGTGGCCCACAGGATTCATTTTTATATGAATTTGACATCACTGATGTAGAAGGTAGTGTACAGGGCTTGAAATCAGAAAAAAAAGAACTCTGGTCTAGTCTATTTCTTCCCATTGCCCAGTGTTGGGGAAGTCACCTAACCTCACTGATTCTTAATTTTCTAATCTGTAACATGGAAGCATTGGACTATTCAACCACTCCAATTTTCTACAACTCTCAATGAGGAAAATCCCCCTCCCCTTGACACATGACTGAGCAAGACTCAACATCCATGTGTTGTCATGGACAACTTGCTGGGACTTATCCACTTATTGAATGGGTCTTGATCTTTGAAGGAGGGAGCTCCCGTAGTGGGAATAACATATGCTTATGGACTCCCATATCTTTTCACTATTTACATAGAGTGTAGGGTACTCTTGAACAGGTGGCTAAGCCATACTCCACAGCCTTTACCACCTTGTGTCTCTTCTTCCTTTGGGCCTCTTATGGGACACCTCAGAAATAAGTAGCCTACTGTATAGCCAAGAATATACATAACGTGTCTCTGTCTCTGAGACAGCACAGGATCATGGGGAAGTTTTGGGTTTAGAATCAGAAGGCTAGGTTCAAATCCTGGCTCTACTAGTTACTATTTGTGTGACCCCGGATGTGCCATTTGGTTTCTTCTCTAGGCCACAATTTGCTTATCTGTAAAATGAGGAGATTGGAATAGATAATGTCTAAGGTCCCATTCAGTTTTAGATTTTGATGGAAGCACCCTGCACAGCAGTGAAATTAATCAATCTCTGCTCCAATAAAGAAAATAAGATGAAATGCATTACAAAAATACTAAGCAAGAAGAGATGCCATCTGGTCAAAAGATTCCTCCATGACAGAAGTACAGCATACAGAGTCGTTGTGAAACCCATGGAGCAAGGAAGGTGGGGGCTATGGCAGCCCTGAGTTGGTAAAAAATCAGGTGGTGGTGAAACGTAGTCCAAGGAATCATGCCTTTCCCAAGGATGATGGTGGTGCTTGGCACTTGATAAAGATGCTCACACATATATACACACACGTGTGGGGGTGGGGTGGGGGGAGGAGATGAGAGAGACAGAGAGAGAGAGAGAGAGAGAGAGAGAGAGAGAGAGAGGAGGGAGGAAGGAAAGAGGGAGGGAGAGGGGGAGGGAGAGGGAGAAAAATCTTGGGTATATCAAATATAAATTGGAATATACAAATATACATTATGAAGCATGATAGCCTATAAATCTAGGTAAAAATATGTTTGGCTTTCTATGTTCCATGAGTTTAAAAAGTATATAAAATTGAGTTTTTCTCATTGCATGTTTAAGCAGGGTTAGTCAACCACTTGGGTGCTGTTAAAGCATGTCTCACAAGTTTTCACAGTATTTGTTACTACAATGTTGCCGTCGACATTTCTGGTGTTAAAACATCCCCTCTGGATGTTTGCTCCTCAATGAAAAAGGGCTGAAGGATTTGTTCAGATCATTCTAAAGAAGTGGGCTAAGTTCTGTGGTTTGGCTAGCAAGAACAGAGCAGCTGCAGTTCAAGACTAATGAGGTTTCATACTCAGCAATAGTTTTTCTGGAATGTCTTAGAGGTGGAGTAGTGTTCCTGGACTCCTCGGTTCCTTGTGGGTCCTTTCTATTCCCTGCAATGCCTAGTTTGTCAATGATCAGGGGAATGTATTACAAGATTTGACTCTGGGAAAGCATAATGTCAGCACAATGCCCTTCCCATGCATCTCTAGGTAAATCAGCTAGCATGGTTAGACTCATGGAGCCAGGCACCTTGCCTTGGCCCAGCCTTTTATGAATAACTCACCTTCAAGGTGGAAGGAATAGTTCATGGGAAAGGGCGTCAAGAGCTTTGACTTTTTTGGTGAGCCTCTTTCTGATGGACAACTCCCATGGCTTTCAGAAGGTGCCCTAGACTGTTGTGCTCCTACCTTGAAGATACCCTTCCCATCTCTTAGATCATTGCCATCCCATGAGTTCCATTGACCTTGGATTTGATTGCAGTTCAATTGTAAAAGTGCAATATGGAGTGGAGAACTCTACAAGAGAAAACAAAGCACTGCCCCCAACCCCCTGGCCAACCCCAAATGGATCCATCACTGAGAAGAGCCCATGTAAGTACAAGAATAAATCAACAACTGGAGCATCATTATCATCATTAGAGCTGAGGCATCGCTATTCGTTCATGCTGGTTTATACTGGTGAGGCAGACCAGCATCAAGACACTGTCCAATTGGGGTGTGTGAATATGATCTTGTGCTTCTTGGCCCACTTGGCAAACACTTTCTTTTCCGTGATAAACCTATGGCCTCCATATGGAGCATTTTCATGCAGAATGTATTCATCGCATTCATCTCTTCCTGGCTCATAATAATGGTAGGGGACTTTTCTAAAATCTTCTGACCTGAGAAAGAGAGAGAGAGTGGGGGGGAATGAGGAAGAAAGCATTCTCTTAAAAGAATCCATTATATATTCAATAAATGCGCTGATTTGCAAATCCATGCATGGTTCTCATCCATGAACTCAGTTAAAAGCTATTAGGTATGGAAGCTTTTAGCTAATGTCCTAAGCCTGCATGCTTGAAAGAGTTCAAATGACATTTACACATCACCCCAATTAAATTCAAACATATAGTCATCCTTTGCAGGAGGAGGTGATGCTGATGGAAACCTCAACATTCAGTTAGTTGGGCTATCGTATAGAGCTTGAATAAGCTCCAGTGGTTTGCACTTTTGGGGATTTGGCTCCTCACTGCTTATAATAGGGATGGAGATATTAGGTCCCAAGACCACAGTTGAGAGTTGCTGGATTTGTTTGGTTTTGACAGCCTGATTAAAATCCATTTCCATTAGATTATACCACTTTACAGTTACCTCAAAATTATATGTTATCACATACATATACATATGTATGTATGTATATACACATATGCATACGTACATGTATACACACACACATATACTGTTTCTTATATGCCATACATGTCTACACATATACGTGTGTGTTTGTGTATTATATTTCCCTGATAAAATGGGAAGGCTTTGTTTTATTATCTAATTAAACAGGACCCCACAAGTGAGTATAGAGTGTGGCTAAGCGTGCTCATTTTAAATAAAGAGCTGGCAGGTTGCTTACTTATTCGTGAAACATAATTTCCAGGAGCTGTGGTTAAGCTGTCAGCTTTATCAGAGGCTCTAGGACATTCTGTCCTTTGTGATCGAATACAAGCACAGAGGAGATAGCCATCTACAGAGCCCTCAGAGCCCAGACACATGAGGAAACTTGCCCATTAAATAGCCACTGACTTGCCCAAACCCAAGTTCCTGAACAGTCCTTGACTAAAAGTAAGAGAGAGAGAGAGAAAGAGAGAGAGAGAGAGAGAGAGAGAGAGAGAGAGAGAGAGAGAGAGAGAGAGAGAGAGTGAGTTCTGGGCGTCTTGACAGCCCAGTGTGCTTGATTCCCTCATCTCGTTTGGTTTGGTTTGACTTTTTAAACCAACTCTGTGACTGAAGGAAGGTAGAACAGAGCTGGCCTTGCAGTAAGCCTCTCACAGTCACGCCATGGGCGGTACAATGAAAAAACCCTGGTTCTAGAGCTGGAAGACCTGGTCCAAATTCCTCCTCTGACCTGTGTGACCTTGAGCAAATCACCATCCAGTTGGGGTTCAGTTTCCTCATCTGCAAAATGAGGGGGTTGAACAAACAAGCCTTGGAGGTATCTTCTTGCTCCTCTGACCCACAAGCTGACTGAGTCCCTCCAACCCTCAAGACCCTCAACAGCTCTCTAGACCATCATAGAATTTTGCTTCTCTTCATTGGTAGAGGAATCACAAGTCCAGACAAATAAGGGCCCAGAAAGAAGTAGGAGTCCAGATTTAGGCTAAAAGAGACCAAGTTCATCTTGTCCAGCCCTTCATTTAACAGAGTTGGAAACTGAGGCCTAGAGAAAAGAAGTGACTTGGGAAGGGTTGGGGAATGCAGGAAGTCAATGGCAGAGGGTTTTGGAGCTGGCAGGGATCTCAGTGACCATTAACTCTGGCCTCCCTTTTACAGAGAAGGAACTAAGGCCCAGGGCTGGTGTTTTCCCAAGGTCATGCAGGCCATTAGCATTTGAAACAGGATTTGAACCAGGTCCTCAGAGCGCAGGGTCAGCATTCTCTCTCCTGTGGCACCAATCTTGTAGTGTTCCATCCCACAGACGGTGGCAATGGATCACTATCTCATCCATTCCATGGATTTATGACAAGAAAATGAATTAGAAAACTTTGACAAGGGATTCGAACAAGAGACACACGAAAATGATTTCCAGGGATCTTACTTGCAGTAGGTGTCATTAATCATGCCATAGACATGGATGCCATAACAGGCATCCATTGCCAGGATCAGGGTAAACCAACCAGTGCTGAGGTAAGTGCCTGACTGGACTCTGGAAAAAGAAAAGAAACACACGCACGCACATGGAACAAAACAAACACACGCCACACACACATACGAGAGACAACACATACACAAAACATGTTGGTGAGAAATCATTGATACTTGTTCAAAATGACAACATTTCCTTTCTGGATCAAGCAGTGAGATGTCTGACAATCTGTCAATGACAGACAGTCATCCTTAACAATTTTGGAATCATTCATAAGATGCTTCCCATTGCCATGGCGAGCCCTGAAGCTAGGATGTACAGAAGAGATGCCATATGGCGAGTATCTGAAGTCAAAAAATCCTAGACCTTCAGGTGAGGCAGCATTTATTTCTACTATGTCTAAAAGACATAGTAGAAGATGAGTGCAGTTTCCACGATGTTTGATTTGCTAAAGTCTTCCAAGCCTATGTCAAGGTTAATAGCCAAACCATCAGCTTGCTTATCTCCCTTCCATGGAAGAGCCTTCCTCAGAGCAGACAAGAACAGTACTCTCTTTGGGCCTCTCTTAACCCAGTAACTGGTTCTGTTTTGAATTCTATTTCCCTGTACTAGGTTGTGTGGTGTGACCAGTCCAGAGGCAGTCTTGGAGTCAGAAAGGCCTGGGTTAAAATCTCTCCTCTTATGTTTACTAGATGTATGACCACGGACGAAGTCACTCAACCTGAGTTGCAGAGAATGTTCTAGAGACTGTGAATCATGGAGGAGTTGCTGTTTATCACGCTGGGAGGATCTGTGTTCACGAGGAAACACATCCAGTCCCTTCCCCCTTTGCTCAGAAGCTTGAAAACTGCACAAGGTAAGGGAATCAATAGATTCACCAATTAGTGAGTGTTTAGTAAGCACCTACTAAGTGCTAGGTACCATGTTAGAAGTGCTAGTGCCTTCCCACTGAAGTGAGCTTCAACTTAGCTTGCATGTATCGTATACCTAGGTGTACATACATTTTATATTTTGTAGATACATATATAACATATGTGTACATACTTAGGTTATGTATGTGTAGATAGTTGGTATTTGTACATATTTATTTGCATGTCTCCCCATTAGAAGGTGAGTTCCCCAAGAGCAGGACATGTCTTTTTCTTTTCTTTTATCTCCAATACTTAGCATAGTGCCTAGAATGTAGTAGGAGCTTAATAAATCATTGTTGCCTTGACTATAAACACAAAGGCAGAATTGAAACATCCTTTGCTCTCAGGAAGTTTCCATTCTATCAAGAGAGACAAGAGAAGACAGCAAATATATATCTACACGTGTCTGTATAGATGCATTTATGTATACTTATGTTTGTATATATGTTTATGCACATGTGTGTACACAGAAAACCTGTCCAAAGGTGCTATGAAGTGATGAGGAAGGATGCCCGCCCGCCCGCAGTGGAGAGGACTAAGATTGGCCTCAGGAAGAAAGGAGTTATTCTTGAACTGATCTGGAAGGAAGCTAGGGATTCCAAGAATGTGTCTTATTTTTTGGGCCCTTCTCTTAGACTAGTATAACAATAAGTAACATTTTGACGGCGCCATAAGGTTTGCAACGTGCTTTACACTGCCCAGAACAACCCTAGAAATTGGATAATGTTATTGTGTTCATCTTATAGATGAGGAAATTGAGGCTGGGATTAAGTGACTTGCCCAGGGTCACAAAGCGAGCATATGAGGAAGGATTTGAACTCATCTTCCTGCTTCAAAATCCAGTTCTCTATACCCTGGGCCATCTGGATGGCTCTGCCTGTGATTTCATCATTGTTGGGAATTCCCCAGTGCAGATCAGAAAATCATCTGTAAGTCAGAGCCTTAGGAAGTTGTGTGAGGGCAATGAAAAGTTAAGTGATTAGTCCACGGAAACACAGCTGTGATTTGTCAGAAACAAGCCTTTGATCACAATCTTCCTGACTCCAAATGCATCCCTTTGTCTCTCTGGCCATACTGCTAAGTGATCCTTAATCAATGTTGACTGAATTCAGGAGTCTGAGGGCAGTTTGAGTCAGGGTGGGGAACCCACAGCCTCGAGGCCACAATGCCACAGGTTTCCCACCCTTAGTTTGGATTTTTCTAAACCATGCTAGATTGAACATAAATGATGGAAAACTTCTCCCTTCACATTTAAACTTCTGCATTTAGAAATTTTGAGCCTTCAGAAGGTAAGATTCTCCCTTTTCATGACCAGGGAAGGGGAGGGGGGAAGAAAGAGAAAGAACCCTTTATATTCCAAGCAATCCAAGGACACCCTGAATACCCAGAGTGGGTTTCACCCCTGCCTCTTGGCAGAACAATCAGGAATGTCCATTAGATATAATCCTGTCTTACTTTTCACTGTGCATGCACTGTGTGTGTTCTCCAGGGGGAGACCTGGCCGTATGTATGGCACTGTACAGGTAAAATATCTACTGCCTTTTCCCTCGGTTTCCATCCAGACTTTTCAGCATAGTGTGCCAGTTAAATATCTGTGACCTTGGGAAAAGCACAACCTTCTTGAGTCTCCATTTCCTCAACGGTAAAATGAGACAGTTGGAGTCAGCGTTTTCTGAGGTCTCTTTCAGTTTTAGGTCTAAGATCTCATGAGAAGAACTGTCTTCATCGAGTGAATCAGCTATTGAGCGTGACTTTTAAGATGAAAATTCAACAATTATTTATTTTTTGCCTACTCTATATGAAATGCACAATGGACACAAGGCTGGTTCTGGAGTTGGCAAAGGCCTGAGTTCCAGTCCCATCTCTGATGGCATTAGCTAGGTGAGCAAGGATAAGTCACATCAAAATGTCCTCAGACCACTTTCAAAAGTTCTTCAGCTGATCCCCTTAAGAGCATGGACTGTCTTACTTTCCATTTATATCCTCAGTACTTAGTACAGACTGTAATAAGTGCTTAATAAATGTCATTTGTGTTCGACAGATTTGTCTATTAAAGACAACTGCCATTTCAAGTTTAGAGCCAGAAGGATACTCCGAGGAAGTCTAGTCCAAATCCCTCATTAACCCTTGAGGAAATTGAGGAGCCTCACTCAAGGTCATCTGGATAGTGAGAGGCAGGGAGAGGATTTGAACATGGGTCATCTCATTGCTTCTTTCTACTGCATCATACTAGTCATAGTGGGAGAGCCAGGCCCAGCAGCTCTCCAAGGTGCTGACAGGGTTAGGTACCAGGGCAGGGAGGGAGCTTTCCATCCCAGCTCAGCCACCACCTGCATCTGTAGCGTAAGCCTCAGCTACCTCACAGGTTCATCGGCTTGTAGAACCAGATAAGCTCTAGCTCTTCCTCCCTTCCATCCCTGATACTACAACCATAATGTTCTTGGTTTCAATGTTCTTGGTTTAGGATTTCTAGTCAGTCAACCATTATCAACAGGCATTTACTACGGCCCAGTGCTAAGCACCTGGGATATAAAGAAAGGCAAAAACATGGTCCCTGCCCTCAGGGAGCTCATATTCCGATGGGGGAGACAACGTGCAAATGAATATGTACCTACATCATATATATATATATAGTGTGAATGGAAGGTAATAGCAATTGAGGGATGGTAGAGGAGGAGACAGCCAAAGGCCTCCTGTAGTTCTCCCATGCTAGAAAATCTTTGTGCCTAACAATATAACCTCTATGAGGCCCATAGTAGAAAGAGCACTGGATAGGAGACAAAGGAGCTGGGTTCAAGTCCTAGTCTTTCCAGTTACTACCAATGTGATTGTAACCAAGTCATTGTCTTCTCTGGGCCTCAGTCTTCTTCAGAGAAACAAGAAATTGGACCTACTGAGTTTTGAGGTCTTTCCTGTTGGGGAGTAAACAGTTAACATACAGTTATTTACAAGTGTCCAGACTCCCCACCCTGCCCACAAGGCTGCAGCCAAAGCCTTCAGAAAGACATAGCCAGAGGCCCACTCATCAGGATGTCATGCCATAATAAAGATAGAAAAGCCTTCTTCCTTTATTAGCTGTTGAAGCATCTGCTGAATAACCAAAACACACAGGAAACTTGCCAGCAGAATGTTTAAAAGCAATTAGGGGTGGGTTGTTGATAGAGGAGGGAAATGGGATAATTGGGAGGGAGGTAATTGAGGGGGATACATTGAAAGGGAGGATTCCATTGAAAAGTTGTGTTCACAGCCCATCAGGGGTCTTTGGACCCGGGGGAGGGGGGGCAGCACTTGGCTGGTGGAGAAAGACCTTCAGCAAAGTTGACTCTTGTTGCTGCCTAACCCGGGTACTCACCATCCTTTGCCCAGGACCTGGGCTTCCACACCTCCATGCCCACCCCTATTCCTCTCCACAGCCACACCCCTGCCACTCCTTGGGATCCCTCTTCCCTTTTAAGACCCAGATCAGGTGCTATGTCCTTCACACCACTTCGCTTGTCTCTTCCCAGTTGCTAATGGCTTCCATGCTCCTAATTTCACAGAGCCCTTTGCATTTCTCTTGTATTTATTCACTTTATTTAGTCTGGCTACACAGACATGACACATGTGTGTACATGTATGTATGTGTGCATGTGTCTGCATGTGTACACACATGTGTCCTTATTGCCCCTCCCATTAGAATGTGAACTTTTTGCCAGGAAGGGATGTATCCTCAGAGCAAACCCCAGGCTCAGTGCCTGGGACAGAATCAATCCAATGAGTCCTTCACAATTGATTGATTCCTCATGACTTCTTTTGGAGGTCCTCCCCACCCCCAGCATTTGGTCCAGATGCTCCACAACATTTATAGGAGAACACAGACAAGAGTCACAGAGAATAGAAAGGGAAGGAAGGGCTGCAATCTGCCTCAGTGGAGGGGACCTGTGAATGATGAGATCCCAGACTATCTTATTAGTATCTGAGAGTCTTATTTTGTATTGCTGTTAAAAATGTTTGCCTTCTATTTCCTTTAGCCCAAATCTAGAGGCAGCTATAACATTGCCTAGCTTAGAAATTAGTTGATTCTGGGGTCTTCAAAATGAATTGGCTCAAACTCGGATATTTTAACTAAGATATTTCCCACCTCTGGGTCATCTCCCTGGGTATGCCTCA